AGCCTCATGTATCTGCTTTGTTACTTCCTGTGCTATCAGTTCAGGGTGCCCAAGTGGTTGCTTATCAGACTTTTCCACCTCATTTCCCCCAGAATTTCCTTTTTGTGGCATGGAAGCCTGCATGTGTGCCTTACTTAAATGTCTTCTCATTTTTGTTTTTGGTACTGTCCTTAATTTAATTCCTGGGTTGATATTTCAAAATTGTTTAATGTAGGTATCTTTGTTGCTTGTGTTTAAAACCCTTGTGGAATGATTGCTTTTCAGCGGTGTCTTCCAGATATAGCTTGTGTTTAGGTTTTTGAGACTCTAATGACTCTGAGGCTATTTTATTTACCATATACCAGAAAGGAAAACTGATTAAATCAATCACAACATTTTAGCCCAAATGATACAATCATCAATACCATATCATGAAGCACAGCTTAGAAAATGACCATTTGTGGTAGTTAATAACCTATCACATTTAACTATGTGAATTAAATTAAAACTGAGGACCAACCCAACATATGTTTATAGTGAATAAACTCTTCAATATAGCATCTTTCCCCTTTGGGATGGGGAGTTAGATGGCTTTGGGGAGGGAGGGACAGGTAGAAAGATCAGCAAAGATTAGCGGTGAGGCCAGAAGACACAGGAAGATCACACAAACTCTATGAAATTGTGAAAGGCAAGAGGAAAAGGCAGAATGAAAGAACAAAAGATGTGAACAGAATCACCTAACAGCAACAGGGAGGCTAGATACCATATTTACTTTCCTTTAAACTAATGATAATCAAGAGGAGGAAAAAGAGAAGAAAAGAAAAATAAAGGAGAAATCCAAATTCAGGGCAGAAAAGAACAAATGGGGAGATGAGCAATGTGGGACAGTGAGAGAACGAGTGAGAGAGAGAGAGAGACAAAGAAAAGATAAAAGAAAGAAAAGAAAAGTAAAAATTTGAAAAGAGTAGAAAAAAGTAAAAATTAAGAATTAAAAATAACAGAAAAATTTTTTTTCTTTTTTTGAAATAGCAAAAAATAAAAACGATGGCCCTCCTTCAGGGTATGTCTCTAATGTCGCAGTAGGCAACATATGCATATACGAGTCAATGAGCTTCAGCAAGCCAGCAGCACATCAATTACGGTGGTCTGGTGTGTCTTTATTGTAGAGATTCTCTTTATTTTTCCTCTGAGGTTCAGTTTTTATCAAAGAGCCTGAGAAGCCCTCTTTCTGTTACTAACTTCTGCTCTATCTTGTGGTGCTCAGGACAAGGGCCTTTATAATCCCCTGTGCCTCTGTAGTGTGTGACCAGGTAGCAGAAGAGCCGGAGGGTCGGGGGGGGGAGTGGGCCTTGGAGGTGCCTGTGCAGCTAAGCAGAGTGCCAGATGGGGCCGGGGCTCCAAACTGCACCTGGGACCTCACCATGGCATAGGCAGGGCCCTGGATGGTGCCAGGGAGCCTCATGCTGCTTGCCTCACCGGCTTGGTTTGGCTGGTTGCTTTGGATGGGCTGTAGCACTTCTTGCATGTTTTTACCTCTTTTATCCATTCCTAGTGTCCCCATTATATGTATGCTTATGTGTTTTATAATGTCACTCTTCTTAGATATTCTGTTCTGGATTTCTTATTTTCTCTCTAAATTTTAATTCTGGAAGTTTCTATTGATATATCTTCCATATGAGTGATAATTTCTTTAGTTGTGTTCAATTTATTGATAAAGCCATCAAAGGTTATTTAAATTTCTATTATGGTATTTTCTATTTCTAGTATTTTCTTTTGATTTTTAGAGTTTCCATCACTTTGGTTACATTACACATCTGTATTTTTATTTTATCTACTTTTTCCATTACAGTCTTTTTCATGGTAACCAAAGTTGTTCTAAATTTCTAGAATAATTTCAAGATTTCTGACACGTTTTAATCTGATTTTGATGTTTCCTCTGTTTTTTCAAACTGTGTTGTTTGTGTTATAGTATATCCTAATTTTTTGTTGAAATCCTGCATGATATCCTGCATAAAATAACCTGAGGAAAATCAGCCTTTAGTATGAGACTTTATGTGTATTTTGGGGGGGCTTAGTTTATGTTTACTTTTTTTGTAATTGTAGGCATAAAATAGAGTATTTTCATTTGATATCCTTGGTTGGGTCTCTCTTGTAGTATCTGTATCACCATGGAATTTTCAACTATCAAACTTGTTGATACTGAACCTGAATCAACTATAGTTTAGGTTTTCTTTCTTTTGTGGACCTGTGAGCTAACTCTTCTCATTTTTCTAAGAATGATATTTGATTTTCAACTTGTGCGGCTTTCTTATTATTGTGTGGATGAAAAAAACCTCTTAAATATCTCTGATGCTTAGTTTTTCCAATTCATTTATCTGTTTCACAAGATCCTATTTATGTCACGGTAAGGTGTGTGCAAAAAGGATGAAGAAGCATTCTATTTTCCTATGAATATGTCTCATACATTTAGGTAGGCTCTCCCCTGGCCTGTGACCCTAATCTATGGTTCTCTGATTTCTTCTCCTACCCATTTGTGGTAGGAAAAGAAACACAGAGATATGTGGAGGTATGAATCTCTTTTTTCCAAGTACATGTTAAGTAGTAATTGGTAAAACCCTGATTATCCAATTGCAAAGTAGTATCTCTGAGTGCATCCCTTGTTGGAAGTTCAGAATGCTTCTAAGATATTTCATAATGGCTAGTTTTTACATCCCCTACCACAAGCTTGATAGGTTTTTCTCCAAATCTTCACTGTCAGAACTTGATAGGGCTTCTACAGGTAAAACTCATGAAAATGGGGGATTCTTAAAATTGAATCACCATGGAAATTTCATCTCAGAAACTTGACCCTACTGTGTGTCTTAGTGAGTTTCTTGTTGTTAGGACAAAATACCTGACACCCACAAGTTAAAGGAGAAAAGTTTAATTTTAGCACACAGTTTCTAGAGGTTTCATAATTGGCTGTCTGCAAGGCACGATACCATCGTAGAGAGGCACAGACAAGGAGATAAAGCTCATGGCAGGCAGGAAACAGAAAGGCAGGAGTATTGAGGCTCACTTTCCCTTTCATTCTATTCAGGCTATACGTCTATTGATTGGCACTACCCACACTCAGGGCCTTCCTATTATCCACACCTAGAATTACACTAAACCAATCAGTGGACTAATTTAGTTATCACACACCCTAGATCCAAGCACCTCTGGAAAAAGTCCACCTAAGAGTGCACGAGGCTTCAGGGGGAGGGCATCTAGGTACAAGGCATAACACTGAGCCTGCAGTAAGTCATCAATTACAGTTTAGATTTTGTTTCTTCTGTGGCCATGTGACCTCAATGGCCTCATATTTCTAAGGATGATAGTTGATTTTCAGTTCATGCAGCTGTATTCATTATTGTGTAGATGGAAATAACCTTCATACTCTTCATTTACTAGAACAGAAACTTGAAGTTATGCTTACATTTTTCTCTTCAGAATAGCTTTACAAGTAATTTGTCTTATTATGGCCATTTACAAGCTGAGGAAACTGTACCACTGAGAATCTACTTTATATAACCAAGTTTATATAATAACGAAACTTCAAAATTCTGTGCTGCTTTAGCACAGACAATCTTTTTTTTTTTTTTTTTTTGTACCAGGGATTGAACTCGGGACCTTGAGCTTGTGAAACAGGTGGTGGCAGGACTGAGCAAAATCCCTGCCCTAGCACTGACAATCTTAAACAACTTTTTTTAGTAATCCACATATACAGCCCTTGGTGTTATAAATTCTACTCTCAACTAATATTGCATTACATTCTTCTACAGCACTTGAAGCTCATTTTTATTTCTCTTTCAGGACTACTTTTCTGTTAATCTTTAAAATATTGCAATTGACTATGATTCTGTCATGCTCTCTATACTTTTTCTATCAACATACACACCCTGAGATTTTTCATCAATTCTTAGGAGTTATAGATTAAATACTGCACCATATTTATGAAAACCATTCTTAAATATTTACAATTAACATAGATCTTTACTCTAACATATAAGTATCTAACAGACCATTTAAAATATCCACTAGATAACTCACAAACAGCTTAAAAGTAACATGTGCACGTATTATTTCTAAATCATGCTGTCCACCTTTGTTTCCCACATTCAGTTACCAAAATCTGAATATATCATTGCTCTATCCCAGAGTGAGAAGGCCCGAAGTGATTTTTCACTTTTATTTTTGCTTTTATGTCCATATCTCCATATACAGTCTATGACATATCAGATTCAATTCTACCTCTAAAATGTCTTTTGTACTCCATCTACTTCTTTTTATATTCAAAAGAACCAGCTGAAGTCACTGTCATTTGTCTCCTATACTATTAAAATATATTTTCATCTTCTCTATTTGCTACTTCTTTTGCTTTGCTATATAATCAGGTATAAAACAACCTTTCTGATTTCACCTCTAGCTCCTCTCAATCTTCATTCACTACATTGAAATCACTAAGCGTGTTCCTACTTCTAGGTTTTTGTACATTCTATTTCCTCTATCCAGAATGCTATCTAAACTATCTACTCTGGCTCTCAATGAGTGACTAGATGTCTTGGATCTTTTGTGTTTCAACATAAATACTTCTTTCTCAGAGAAGATTTCCATGACTGCATCTTCTATACTCTTGCACCAGCACAGTTTCTGGCACAAAGTTATGGGAGCTCAATATTCTGGCACTATTTTCACAGATTTATTTCCAGAAAAAGCTTAAATATAAACATCTTCTCTGCTTATGTTTCTCCTCTCTCTCTCTCTCTCTCTCTCTCTCTCTCTCTCTCTCCCACACACACACACACACACACACACACACACACACAGAGGCACAGAGGAAACAGGAATGTGAGTGTTGATTGCCACAGTGTTCCTCAATGATCTGTGACACTTTGTTCAATTTCCTATCTGATAAACTGCTGACCATTGTTTTCTCAAAATACGTTGCTGTAATGTATCTATTCTTCACATGAATTCTTTAAATGAAATGCTCAACTCACCAGAACTTCCACCGACGATATGCTGTAAGTTATATGGATTGTTGGATCGGCCATAGACCTTGTTACTTGATTCATACCACATGCACAACTCACTACAATTAGTTATTCCAAGAGGAATGGCACCAGCCTTCTTCAGTAACGCAACCACAGTGGCATCAGTATTTGAAATTGCTTCACGACGGTTCACAAGGCCAGAAGAATTGGGCATTCCTATAGTAGTCACAGAAAAGAGAGTCAAAATTCTATTAAGCTATAATAGTGACTATCATGTTATATATTATATATTATAGTATATGTTATGTATTATATTATCATGTACCAGCTAATATACAAAGTAATTTGTTTACTATTGAGAGATAGTAAAATTTATTGAAAAGGATACAGGGTTTAGAAAGAGAACTGAATTCAAATTTGAACTTCATACCCAACTACCTTTGCAAACTTTGGACAAATCATTTAACTTTTCAAAATCACTATTTTTCTAAGGATTAAATGAGAATATTAATGTAAAGCGTCCAAACACATTTAATAAAGAGATGCTTTTCATTACTAATTTTTTCCTTCAGCCACCAAAACTAGTTAAATCCTTTTGTTAGAAAGTGTTAGAGATGAATTGGTTTGGAGATATAAAGTGATTGCATCATTGTCATGAATAAACAAAAGTGGCCAGAAAGAACCCAGTATACAGGAAACATAGTACAAAATAGAAGTGCCATTTAGATTAGTAAGTAAAGTACGATCTAGTAATCATAGGAAGAAATCTCTCTTTTAATATGAAAATACATATATATTCCTAAATAATAAAATATGGAAAATAGAATATGGAAAGACTTACCCTTTAAATTTGTAAACTGAATTTTTAAGTATTCAAAGAAAATATATGCAAATATTTTCCTAATGTTAAAATTGGGAAATATTTTGTAAACAGGACACATAAATACTAATCTTATAAAATATAAGATTTATTTATTCAAAACATTAAATGTTTTTATTCAAGCAAAATAATATATACTGAATCGACAATAAACTATGAAAAATAATTTTCACTTACACATAAAAATTAGTACATAACATATATTAACTCCTACAGATCAACAAAGAAAACATGTATATACCAATAACAACTTGGTCATAAAGAAGGATAGACCAGAGTCATTTGTAAGAAAATATGGAATCTTGACACCATACAGTTAAGTGAAATAAATCAGACATACAAGCTTAAATAGAGGGTGGCTTTTTTTATATGATAAATCCAAAATATAAACAGCAAAATAAAAGGTAGATAACAGAAAATAAGGAAATAGATCTTTTGCAAATGATAAGGACAAGAGATGGAGGAAGTGGAGAGGGAGGGAAAAGCAAGGATGAAAAAAGAATTGAGATATGTAAATACACCAACTACCCATTAGGTATATAACCTTTATGTACTGCAAATATGTACCAATAAAAATAAAAATTGGAAAATAAAATCAGGGAAAGAAAATTGACAAGAATTTTCACAAAGAATCATGAAAGGCCAAAAAAATGAAAAGCAAAAGATGTGTGATCTCAAATATAATCAAAGAAATCCAAAGTTAATATGGTAACAACACTCTATTTCTCACCAATTGTGCAGACAAAATATTAAGCTTTAACAACACCAAGTATTGGCAAAGACAGAGAGATATTTGTCTTAGGAGAATGAAAAGAAATAAGATAACATGGTAAGCACAATCACAACATGCTGTAAAGTAGATTATGCTTTTTACCATAAGAGACATTAAGACTACAATTAGATAGACACACAGGGAAAACTTCAAAATGTACACAAGTCTATACTGAGAAAAATGGATACTGTGTGAAAAGAAGAAAGGAAATGTAAAGTTTTTGATTTTGATTCATATAATTATATGATTT